ATCTTCAAATTTTTCCTCAACTCGCGATCTCTAACTCAACTGCAATGACTTATTTGAGATTCACAAAACTAAAGTTTTGACCAACAACAATTCTATCACTTTTGTATCGTTTATACCTCACCTTCTTTTTCAGATTTCGGAATGTCTCAACAAGATTGATAGGTTCATGTTGTATTAGTACAATCTGACGATAAATTTAAAAAATTCTTCGATGAACAAGAAGAAGAAATTTGAATTTTGAATTTGTTGATTATGTTAAGACTCAATTTGTTTCTCTATATTTATTGTACCAGCAAACCCTTCTTCAACTTCACTTCATTAAATTGGGTAATTGAAGCACCTGTTTTATACTTCATGTGCCACAAAAAATGACCCTGTTTCAATGCCGAATGCCTTTTGCAGCAGTATCTCCATCTCTTTCTCCAAGAATTGAACTTATAAAATTGTTTCTTGAAATAGTAGCAACCCATTTGCTAAAACCACTCAAAAGAAGTTTTCGTTTCTTTGTTATGCTTTGAACGATTTCTTATATTCAACGATTTTTTATACTCGACGATTTTGAATTGATGATTTGAAATTGTGAATTGTTTGTCCAATCATCTACAATGGAGGATTTGAGATTCAAGATTTCGAATTGATGGAGAAGATGAAAATTTGATGTTTGAATTTTGTGAAGCTGTTACAGATTGGAATTGGTTGATATGAATAAGTTCTGCGTGATTTGTCGGAAAGAAAATCAGTTATGCGTGATTTGTGGGGAAAAATATCAATTTTATGTTAATATTCCATATTAAGCTCAACAGACAAGTTTTATAATGTATCACAATTAATGTATCCGGATGAAACTTATGTATTCGAAATTCGAATGACTAATATTTTAAGGATTTTTTGTAAAATAGAAAAGAGTAGGGATAAGTTGTAATTTAGGGTCTTACACTATGGGATTTATGTAAGTTATACACTTAAAAGAATAAAAATTCATGATTTTAAAAAAGTTAAAAAGAGAAGACAAAGATTGATAATACAAATGGTGAATTAAGCAACTAGAAAATTCAATTAGGATAAAAGAGGGAAAATATCTATGGTTCCTAGTTGAGAAGGAAGTGTCCAAGTCTAATATTTATAGTAATATCATAGAGAAATTTTTTGAAATAACAAACATACAAGGGCGGACCCACGTGGAGGTCAGGGGTTCACCCGAACTCTCTCGTCGAAAAATTACACTATATATAAGGTCTATTTCTGATTTTATGAGTACGTATATTAAAATGAATCCTCTTAACACAAAAGAGAAGCATGGCTTAGTGGCTAAGCAGTTCAACTTTGATTGAGATGGTTCGCGTTTGATTCCCGCTTGCAACATTTTTCCGTTTTTTTTTTTTTTTTTGCTTTGAAAGGCTGAATGGGCTCTTGTTTTGGGTTCAAATCCAACTCCATTTCATTGTTTTTGGAAGGTTGAATGGGCTCTGATTTCGGGCTCAAACTCATTATTTTTTGTTCAATGTAAAGCTTTATTATTTTTGTTATCATTATTTTCTTTCTATGCTATTTCTTTTTCTCAATTTATCTTTGTTTAAATTTATTAGACATATTTTAGATACTTTTGTCTTTTATTCTTCTTATTTATACTTCTCATTTTATTTCTACATAAGTCTTTTTACATGTACTAACGATGAATTATTATTAAATTTGAAATTGATTTACAAAAAAATATTATATAAAAATAAATTGAATTAAAGTTAATCGAATGGAGAAATTTAAAAGTCGTGAATAATCTTTTAATAAAATCTAAGTAATTGATCCCCCCCCCCCGCCCTTAATTCATCATTTTTTTTTCATGAGAGACTAACCTAGTAAGTTGAATTAAATGAACTAAAAAATCGACGATGCCAATTATTTATCTTATGAATATATATATTATAATATCTTAGTGGTTGGATTTTAAAAAAATCAAAAAATAGAGTAGAACACTGCAATATAAAAGAGAGAAAAAACACAAGAAATATTTTTTTTAAAAGCTCGATGAAATAGGGTAAAAGTAACAAAAAACTAGACGCGGCATGACAAGGCAAGTTAAAGTTATTGGATTCAGATTACTAGTTTCCTCCTATGTCTCTCAGTTTTTCATCTTGTAATTTTCACATATGTACTTTATATTTCGAACCCCCTTCACAGAAATCCTGGATCCGCCACTGCAAACACATAATAAGGTTCTATAGCTATAGTTTCGATAACTAAAGTTCATAGATATAGTTTGTGTGCTATGGAGGCTGCGGTTTGTATATTTCTGCTCATTTGTATATTTCGTTTGCGAAAATACAAATAGGGGTAAGTATATACAAATTCTGTATTTATACATTTAGAAATTTTTTGTATATTTCGCTTGACACTATACAAACAAGGTAATTTATTATGATTTTTTCATAAATCGTATACAAATAGCTAGGGTAAGTATATACAAAATTTGAATTTATACAATCAGGAACTGAATTATATAAATTCTGGATTTATATAAATCAAACGAATTATACAAATCAGGCGTTTATTGTAGCTGCAAATTACAATTTTCTTAAACTGTAGCTATAGTACCTAATATAGGCTAAATATTTACTATTCTACGTAATTTTATCTTTAATATATTCATCAGTTATTATAATCAAATGAAATTAAAAAGATACTAAATAATATCAATCAATACAATCTATTTAAATATTTCTCAAATTACACAATACAATATAGTAAAAATGATGTATTATGGAAGGATGAAAAATACTAATCCAAACACGCTATAAATTGATTGGCTCACCATTGAACTCAAGATAGAATGAACTTGAAAGGCTAATGAATTCCTCCCAGATAAAATGTAAGAATAAATATTTGAAAAGGTAACGAGGAACTACATAGCAAAGTCATTAAACTTTGTATTGAATTAAAAAGATAACTCAATTTTAAAGTTGTTAGTATGGGCTAGGCTCGTTGGACCGGTTTGATTTAACTCATGATTTGACAGGGCTGGACTAAGATTTTCAGAGCCCATTTAAGAAAATAATTTTTTAGTTCGGCCTAAATAAGCCTACTCATTTGTGGGACTTGAGAAATATGGGTAGGCCGGCTTTGAGCCAAATAAAAATTAATTAAAAAATAAAATAGAATATTAAAATAAGAAGAGTCCAAACTCAAAATCTATTTAAAGTTTTAATTATTAAAATTTAAAATACAAATTATGTTTATAAAATATGTACTACATAAAATAAAGTTTCCTAAAAATACTAAGGATTCATTACGTAGGTCGTATAGCCTATGGAATATTGTCATGTTTTTTGTGTTTTATTATGATCATTAGAAAATAATTGGGTTAATATTTCTATTTAGCTATTTATACTTTTACTTGAAATCAAACTTAATATATATTAGGGAAAAGGGTCTGAAATATATCTGAACTTTGACCGAAATTGCAGTAACGATACCAAACTTTGGAAAGGACCTTTTACCCGCCCCCCCCCCTAACACTATTTAATAGTGTATTTTAAAGGTATATATATGCCTACGTGGACATCATAAATATTGCATAATTATAAATAATAACGTGTCCACGTGGGTACATATATACCTTTTAAATACACTATTAAATAGTGTAGGGGGGTAAAAGGTCCTCCATAAAGTTTGGTATCGTAACAACAATTTCGGCCAAAGTTGAAGTATTTTTCAGACCCATTTCCCTAAATATTATAAGGTAATTTATTAGTGATTTGATTAACAAGTAGTAACATTAACACCATGTAATAAGGTCTTGTCGATATTTATGATAAAACTTTTAAATTATAATTTGATTTACAAAAATGGGTCAACTCGACTTGACCTGTTAAATTTCAAAACCTGTATAAATTAGCCCGAATAGACTGTGCTAGTCCATTTTGACAATTCTACTCAATTTAAAGTTTTTTTCTTATAAAAACTCACTATAACCTCTGAACATTTTAGTTTGAAAAATAATATCTGCTTCACATTTTAAATGGAATAATAAACCTAGTTGATCTTAAATCCATAACTAGAAATGAGTTGGGTTATTGCATATATTTTTAAAATATAAAAAAAAAGACCTTCAATTAATATGAACCAACTCTCTTAAATCTTTTTCTTTAATCTTTGTTCTTTTGATATTTCAAGTTTCATTTTTCTGCCTAATTTTTTTTATAGAGCTTCTAATTATCTTGATTTATTTTATTTAGTATCATTAATATTAAAAATTTCATTCTATCGGATCATATTCTTTTATGATAAGAAAATTCGAATGAATAAATTTTAAGGATGAAAAGTCAAAATTGGATGCCAACAAAATAATTTCTTCTGTTTAGGTAAGACTATTCAAGATTAGTCTTTATACTAATCTAAAATATCTAATTATCCAACTCTAAAATTAACTCAAAATAACCGAGTTAATTACACCACTAACTCACTCTTAAGCTAGTTAAATCAGATTGTGCCAGTTGGCTTCTAGCTGTCAGATCCAACTCAGCTTCCAATTCATCATGCTTAACATTTTACATAAATTAATTTTGATTTCACGTCTTTCTTATAAGAAAATGAATTTACGACCCAAACTCTATTAGTGTATAAGAGATGAAATTAACGGTAGGAACAAAAATTTTGATGAAAAATTATCTAATTATTTAAAATTCTTTATAAAATGTATTGTGTATATATAATTACTAGATGTTATATGTGCAAGCACGGATCCAACAAATCAATGTTGAATATATAAATGGGTCGTTTGATATGAGGACATGCAGAATTATTTTAGTTATATTAATTAGTCTCAAGATTATTTATCACATTTGTACTATAATCATACAATAATAATGGTATAAATTATCTCATATATAATGAAATAATTAATCTCATGAAATATCTCAATACACTAGATAACTTTTGTCTATTTCATTCCCGTTTGTCTAGTACAATTCATTCTTACTTGTGAACATAGAGCAAGTGCCATCTAATGAATTCAAATTGGAAAATATTAGTATAAGCAAACACATTAAATTCTAATTTACAAACGCCCAACACAATTGATTAACATAATCTATTTCAAACAATTGCTTCTTCTATTTTACAAACGCCTAACACAATTGCTTATACTAATTTAGTATTAGCAAAACCTAACCAACAAAGCTAATTTAGATGTTTGTGAGTTCAGTTCTTACAAACGCCTGTCGAAAGTCAGGTGAAAAGCAGCCAAAGAGGATGATATTACAAACAAGGTTGACACAAACCACATCTGCCAAATTCCTTCCTGTGTATGAGCTCTCCCCTCAGCTTTCGGGTCTTCACAATTTCTCCTAAAACAAGAGAAGGTTCATAATTAAAATTAAGGTGTCACCACGCAAATAGAGAGAATACAATAATGGATACTCAGACAGATGCACACTGCAATGAAGAGATCAGAAAATCATGTAGTATAGCTAAATCTCACTTGTTTATAGCATCATCGGATACGAGTAGTGATGATAAACAAGCATGAGATGCGTAAATGATATGCCAACTGATATGAAGCTCAGCATCTGAAGCATGATTGTCAATGCATATCCATCTCCTAGCTGGTCCGATCATATCGGCTTAAAAATTTGACTATGCGAGGATACAATCGCTCTGCAGCCTGCAGTGTCAAGACCCGAATAATATATTACTATAGGGGGTATTCAAGGCACGATATTCCTGAGAGTTACGAGTGTGCTACGAAACTCAAATAGAAGGGTATTCTCTATCTAAGCTATATGTAGAACTCTGAATATACTAGAAATGGGAAAAAGAAAGCATGAAATGTGAATTCTACGCAATTAAGACATAATCTCCTTCTCCTCTATCTTTTTATTTCTTCCCGTCTTTTTTCTAAATTCAATAGAGATCTTATCGACGTACCATGCGTCCACACACCAAGTCATAATGAGCATAATGTGGACCATCAGCATCGCCAAATACTTTGTACTTCACTAAGTTCTCAGGGATAAGCTTCACTGTTTCTGCTTGAATCATGGTTTATAGAAAGATATCTTAGAGAATTCTTAACCTCTTACAGAGTATTCAGCACGGAAGTACCAAAAAAATACCATATACAGCTTCTGGGGGACAGATTTGGTCTAGATCTCCTGCAAGAGCTAAGACAGGTACCCTACTTTTGTGAAGGTGATCCTTGTAGAAGATTTTACCACTTCTATCACGGAGCCCTCGCTCTTGAAAAGCCGTAGTCATCTGCAAAAGAAGCTTAGCAGGAATATTACCTGCAGGGAGATCATTCAGCAAATTTTGCAGGAAAAGATTTGTATGGAACCCCAAATCAACACATGTTGATAGGAAGAAATGGCCCTGAATTCACACAAACTTCTGGTAGAACATTATTCAAAGCTACCAACTTTCACAAATTATGAACAGGACAGTTATCCAGTAATTTTCTGAAAACATTATAACAAACCAGATTGTCATCTATTAAACAGAACTACACGAGCATCAAACACATTATAAATCATGAAGAGACAGACATAGCTCATAATAAATGCCTAAATAAATATTTCAATACGTGCAACTGGTTGACAAAGAGAATTTGTTTTGTGTGGCAATGGACTATTAGGATAATTCATTACTAATGCAGCAATTGTCTGACAAACACTAGCAACAGGAACTGCGAGGATCATACAGTGTCACTAGAATAATCCTCTAGATCACGTAAGTCTTTCCAGTTCTCTCTATTGCCTTTAAACTCTCATCCAAAAAATATCTCCTTAACCTGAACTCTTGAAATCTTCAAAGCATATTCTCTACACCAATAAACATTAAGACCTTAAAAAAAAATCATGCAATTTTGATAGGAGTTAAAGCATGAAGCTGTTTTTATACTCATGCCAATACTTACAAAAGCTGCTCCCTACAAGTTTTTTCATCTGGTCTGGATGCATCATGTCTGTGGCAGATATCATTTCATTAAGCCAAGCCAAGGCATAAGGAGCGCGAGATGTTAGAGGATAAGCAGCAGCCACTAATGTCCCTAGAGGAATGACAGGAACATTGAGAACCTGAGCAGGATCAGCCTGTAGCAACGTAAACAGCTCTAAGATTACTCAGCAACGGAAGATAGCAGCAATTGAAGCTAAAGAAGAGTTGAAACATATTATTTCAGCTTACAAGTGGTACAAGCAGTTTGAGTGCGGACTTTGATGATGTGTAATCAAGTGATGAAGCCAAAGTAACAATAGCTGCTAATCCAGGCTTTCTTCCTTCCAAACCTTCATTCACAAAGGAAAAATAAAAGGAATAACAAAATGAATTATGTGTCTAGTTTGTTTCTCTGATAAATTCAGAAATCCTAAATAAAATATCCATTGAAAAATAGCCCATTAATATGTAATATAAAATGCAGCTCCCTGTACAGTAAAGAAGGATACTTGAAACTTAAAGAAGAGAGTATTCCAATTCATACAGAAAGCTGCGAAGCCAAATGGAAACTAAAAAGGTGGGCCAGAAACAAGATTATCATAAAAGAGAAGGCACCATTAACTTAAATTTACCATATATTCCATTTTTTTCATGGTATTCAATTCGCAGAGATCTAATGAACACCTTTTAAGAATTTAATTGAGATCTTTACTTAAGACATTTCTTCAAGTTGCTCTCACGAAGATTCATTACATTAAACAAGATAGGAGGGATCAGCCCTGCAAATAGGAAGACTGGAGGCTAAAAAGCAGAATAGAGAAGATTGGCGCAACTTTGACAGGATACTTTGTCACATGAAACTAGTCTGAAGCACCAACTTTATCACAACCGTGTCTAAATTAAAGGAAAATATACCTTATGTTGCCAGCACTTCTGCTTGCTAAGGGAAAGGGATTTTACATCGGAGAAATGAATCAAATTCCTTAAAATACACATCACTTAAAGTCATTCTAACCACAATATATGGAGAGATAATGATAGCATTTCACACAGCCAGCAATTCTGACATACTCAAAAGCTGGTCAGTTTCCAGCTCAAATTTATTATGAATGTGAATGATTCCGGCATCCTTGGTGTCTAAGATAACACCCCTTTAGTGGCTATAACTATATACCCTTTAGTGGCTAAATCTAGACACCCTTTCGTGGCTATTACAACAACGACCGAAGAATGAAGATTCTCCTCAGTAGCAAATTCTTACCTTTTGTAAAGGTTCTGGATTAAGAACTCATTGAGATTTAGTCGAAAAGTAACTGCATCAGTATTTGGAGATGAGAACTTGATGCCAGCTCATTGATAGTCAATGATGAAAACTTGGATAGAATTCCCAAGGTTAACTTGAGGTAGCAAAAGGGATACAAGTGGTTTCCGGTTTTTTTTTTAACCAGGAATGAGACTCTTTCTGAGAGTGAACTTTTATTAGACACCAAAAGATTCAGAGATACTACAAGAGTGCACTTACGCAAATTACACACCAAGGTCTACAGAGAAGAAATGTTCTGTATCAACAACACAAGATCGTTCTTATTAATTGTCTATCAATTCTCTGACATAGACTAAGGGTCCAATATAGCACAGAGAAAACTCGACATTATACCAGGAGAGACCAATATGCATTTCATTTTTGTGAGTACTCTTTTGGATGCTTAAATAATAATGTCAAGCCCATGGATATTACCAGCTATGCATTTGAAAGTACAAGAGCAGTTACTAAGTGCACCATAATGTTGTTTTAGGCAACAATAATACAGATTAAACGCCACCAAGAAAAAATAAATACTCCATCCAAAGGATTCTTTGAGCCTATTGGAGCAAGGCTCAACTATTATTAAACAAAAGCATGCTCACCTGATGGTATAACTAGGGATATATGCATGCAACAGGATATGATGGGGATGAAAAACAAATTGAAGAACCAAAGTAATATGTCTGCATGAAGCACCCAGATACCACAAAGATGGATAGCAAACATAGTTTATTTACCAATTTCAAGCTTCAATATGTTCTCCTTGCCACTGGTTCAAGATACATGAATGAAAATCTAGTCATTTGCTTAAGGTGCTCATTGCTACCATGTCACCAGCAGACAGAGCTCTATGAAATTAGATCTCATCTTACCACACCGTGATAGCCTGGCATACAGTAATATTCCTCCCATAGAATGTCCAATTGCGAGTAGTTTGCCGTCCTTTGGTCTAGTTTGGGCCTTTATATATTCCATCTAAGATAAACAATGTAAAAATTATCAATCACTACCATCTAAAACAAGCAATGTAATAATTTTCAATCACTGCTCAATATAAGAGAAAATTAAGAAAAGATGTCTGAGATCTTAAAGTTCCTATTCAAAATTAAAGACCGGATTCAAGGAGATAAAATTTTACAGCCTCAACATGGAGAAAGGCCACCTCACCGCAGCAGGGACATCCTCTTCCAGGTAAGTATCAAAGTCCCAATCATACTTGAGGATTAAGTCAAGCTGTTCCTGAAAATCTCCTACTGTAGTTGTCAACCGTTGTTGTAGATCAAATAATGGGGATGAAACAGAACGATGACCTTCTTCAAAGATATTTACTAGCTTCTTGCTCAGTGCCCCAACTTGGCTATCAATGACAGCTGAGTTCTCCTTCATCTCTAGCAGACTTAACAATTTCTTCCTTATTCTGTTGACCCGTTTGTAAGGAAAAGAATCCTCCAATCGTTTTAATATTCGACGAACAAGTTTAGGAAAGACAATCTTCGACCAATGTCCACTGACAAAGCCAGAGACTCTCTCCGACAAGCGTATAAAAGTTTCTGTAAGTTTGGTCACCAGTCTTGACTCATTCCATATTGTTGAAACCACAGTGGGTTCTTCATGGACCAAGGCAGCATGGTCCTTTTCTGAGGCACCCTGGACCTTTGTTGACTGCTGTGCTGCAGAAAGACCTCTGTCATTAGCATTTTCCATCTCATTAGATGCTGTGTGTGCAGATTTCTCAATGTTTTTAGGATCTGGTTCCCGCACGCTCAACCCAGTTCCACGGACTTCAAGAATCCACGTATCAAATCCTTGATTACACATGTACCGAGCAAATGATGACTGAAAAATCACAATAAATAAATAATAAATACATGATTTCATTTCTTTAAAACAGCTTCAAAACTATCGATAAGGACATCCATGGTGCAACCACATAAACTACATCTCAAAGATATTTGCAAGATCCAAGTAGAACTCAACCACCGCTCAATAGCAAAGTGCGCTTTGGGGAGATATAAAATACTTGAAAGTGATATTATTCAAAATAATGACATACTCGGATTGAAGTATGGAACATTATTTTATCATAATAATCAAATAATTAGCACATACATGCATCAAAATTCACATACTCCAGAAGTATGAGATAATCAAGCAAAAGCAGATTTAGGAAACTCAATTTTTAGATCCATCTAAAAAAAATAGCAATGAATTTTCCAGTTCAGTTACAAATAAACGACATATGCATGCAGAGATCGGTGAGGAAGGAGGGAATAAATTACCTGAGGCGAAAGATCATATCCAATAGCATTAGTCCCTATGCCAGACAAGAGAAGAAGCGGGTGATTTCTCCTTGGAGCCTGTTAATTACGACGTTGGAGTATTAAAATTAATTCGTACAACTCTCTCAATTAATAAAAAGGAAGTTAACCTGCGGAGGAGGAAGGTAGCGCCAGAGAGCAAGTCTCCAATCACAAGTACTAAGGGAGACATAATGAAGCTCGTCGGCGGTGCATATTGATGGTTTATTCGACACCTTCTCATGACTCTGTTTTTCGGCAGCATCATCAATGGTCGACAAAAATCTCACTCTCGCTCTCACTCCCTCACAACAAACAAGATCAATCGTGCGGTGGAACTGACGGAGAGCAGAGGCAATTTGTATCGCCGATCGACGAGCAATATTCGATTGAATCAACAAAACCATTTTCTAAATTACAAGGGAATTACGGAACACAATTTGCTAATTTGCTTATCTATTTTTTCATCTGGGCGGAATGGGAAGAACAATATGCGTGACTTGCGTAGAAATATTTGTGTTTGATCTCTACTAAGAGAGAGCGTGCCTCGCTCTAGAATATTGGGACACGTACTCATGCCACCGCCTTATTCTAACTCCCTTGCTTGATTAAATTTGTTGATTCAAACCAGTTGTGGTAGAGTGCTGCTTCATTTTTTGTTTCGGGTTTGAATCTTTGGATACAAAGTTAGATTTATTAGAGAGAGCACTTTAGGTATGAATTTGAATTTAGTTAGATTACAATATAAATTTCGAACATTAAATAAAAAATCTAAAAAAAATATTGTTGATTTAAACTAGGGGTATTAAATGAACGGTTTAGATTACAATTGAAGATATTAAAAAAGGTTGAAATGAAATTAGATTGGGTCATGACCCGCCCAAATTAACTTTAGTCTCAAACGGACTAAATATCGAGTTGGGTCATGACTCACCCAATTTAACTCCCTTAATTTCAATAATTTTAACATATTGTTATCTATCTTTTAAAAAAATTAATTTTTTCATAAAATAACCTCATTAAATTATATCTCAATTTAAATAATATTTTTTTAAAAAAATACATTTAATTTCTAAATATCAACTGCAAAATTATGACCAAATACAAGTGAACTTCAACTCTAACTCTAATATTTGGTGAAAATTTTGGCAAATAGTGTTTGTTCATACAATTTGTCATTATTTGGCAAATATATTTGGCAAATATCTCAAATTCCCAAATTCTAGTTTTTTCTAGTATTTGGGCCAAATCTCATTATTTGGGATCTTTTAAAAATTGAAATTTAACATCAAACTTTTATCTTTTACAAAAACACCTTCTATAGTAGTTGTTTGCGTTGTATTACATAATTTTTTACGTGAACATCAAAATAGTGATGAAAATATTCGGTGAATATGAAAGTGATGATATGGTTGTTGATGTAATGATGAACAATCGGCTCAGGGTAACAAAGTCATATGTTTTGTCTACTTCACGATATATGGAATGATGCTTGTTGCACTCACTCCAAACTACCACATTGCTCCAGTGTCATGGACACTACTTGTTATTTGTTGCAACGAAGATCCAATTGACTTGTAATACAAATTTATGGTTAGTTTTGATAGTTTTTAAAACTTATGGGTATAAATCATATTTTTCTAAAAAAGTGAAATATGTTTCCCAAATACTATGGTCAAACACATGGTGAAATTTCACCCAAATTTTCACCCAAATAATCTTTGTCAAGAATATTTGAAAATCTATGGTCAAACGCTAGCTAATTCTAACTCTGAAAATTCCAATAAAGTGTTCTTTTGTCTTCAAATAAAGTGAAACTTTTGATTTTTTGGGTTAAAAAGGGATGTTGGTAGATGGGTTTATGGTTGTTTTTCTTTAAAAAGTTAGATGATTTTTTTATTACGGTTGATTTAGTTAATGATGTGGTCAAATGATAGTTGGTCACATGTACAAACTAATTTGTTAAAATTGAATGGGATAAGGTATAAGTACTCTCCTAGACTATGACCGAAATTTCAGAGACACACCTAAACTTAACTAAGAACTTATTACTCCTGAACTCATTTTTTCGTATTTTTGTGTACCTTTTGTGTTGATGTGGCACCTTAAACCACCCAAGTTGGTTGTGTTTGTACACACCCGCCCGCCATGTATGTAAATATATATTTTTTATTTTTTTAATTAAATTTTTTTAAAAAAAAAAAAAAATTAAATTTTAAATTTTTTTAAAAAAAAATATTCTTATTTTTTGATCTTGTATTTAAATTAAGTAATATACATTTTTTTACCTTGTATCGAAACTTTATTTTTTACTTACATTCCTTGTTTTTTCTCTTTTATTTTTCTATTGAATTTATTTTCTTTGTCTTTCGTTTTGATTTGATTTCAAATGTCTTGTATTTAAAATAAGTTAATTTTGAACGGATATCAAAATAAGTGAAGAAAATCAAATAAAACATAAAAATACTAAAACATTAAAACTAAAGGACACTTTTAAATTTTATTTTTTAAAAAATACACATAATTTATTAAAAATAATTAAAAGTGAAAAGATAATAAATTAATTAAATAAAGTTTCAAGGGAAAAGAAATTAAAATAAATATTTTACAAAGAAAGAAACAAAAATAATTAAATATATATAAGTTTTATTATCAATAAATATGTGTACTAACTAATTAAAAAGTTACCAATAAAAAAATGACATGTGTCCAATTTGTGCACTCATCACTTGCCTTCAAGAGAATGTGCACACTCTCTATGACATGTCAGCGTTTGTGGTGTATTCATTCCATTTTAAATTAGTTTAGGGGGTAATAGGACTCTAGTTAATTTTAGGTGTGTCTCTGAGATTTCGGTCATAGTCTAAGGGGTACTTATGCATTATCCCAAATTGAATAGATATTCTGTTAAAAGATAATGGCATTTATGGATACTGTATTAAACTCGGGACATTGATTAGCCCAATTTTTAATGATGATTTTTTTCTCAAAATTCGATAATATATTTGAGTCTTTTCATTTCCATCTATACGACTTATATTTCATCTCCCAAAGACGAGTAAATTTATTTGGAACCTGATTTGATTATATGCTACTCCCTCTGTCCCTAATTACTTGTCCACTTTTCCTTTTATAGTTGTCCCTAATTACTTGTCCATTTTGACAAATCAAGAAAGGACAAAAAAAATTTACATATTATACCCTCAATTCATCCATTTCATAATTAATAGGGGTAAAATGGTAAACTCACTATGTCATTAATTGATTTCTTAATAGGTGTGTCAATTTAAAAATGGATAAGTAATTAGGGATAGAGGGAGTATAATCCAAAAGGCGAATTCTAACTCTTTTTTATTTGAACTTCCTATGTCTGTATAGCTTTAACTCTTTATTCAATCAAATGAAATTCAACTCTTATTTTTTTTCTCTTTGTTTGGTCCTTGTTAGCAATCTATTTTTTATTTAATATTATAAGTTTTGAATGTCTTTTTATAAAAAATATTTTAGAACTTTGAATTAAATAACTCAAATCTTTATAGTAATAAATATAGTTTATACAACGATGATCAAAATAATGTATTACAAACAAATGGCTAACATCTTATTAACTAGAATTAATCTCTACTTTTATAAATAATAATATTAGTGTGTAAAGTTAAAAGCTTATAAAAATAGTTTATAAGTTAAAAACCATAACATGAAAATATCAAACACACTTTTAACTATTTTTATATTTTTTGTATCTAAAATTAAATGCTTGAATATATTAGTTAAAAGGCAAAAGAACTTGCAATAAGTCAATTCAAACCCCCAATAAATTAAGAAATATGATCATAAACTTTTCTAATTATTAGTAAGATTTAAATAGAAAACTTTTGTTTGGAGGGTTGATCCTGATTATGTTCTTCGGATTTGTTCTCTTGAAGAAGGATCGTACATCGGTACATGGACTAACCGTGCAAACTATGACATTAAAGATGTCTCGTTTGATGAAAGGTTGATGAAACCTCATGAAAGTTGAGTAAAACGATAATAACTAATGTAAGAGTTCATTTAATAATACACTCAACTATTTATCTATTTTTCGTAGATAATGTCTTCAAAGCAAATCCCTAATCTACCAAATTTATTTATCTATTTTTTTGTAAATAATGTCTTCAAAGCAATACTCTAATCTACCAAATTAATATGTGAATATCAAGTACAAGTATTTTCAATTTTACGATAAATTGATTGATGGACCTAAGCTAAACAACTAAGATTGAACCTAGACCAAAGATTCTTAGGTTCGTATAACATAAAAATAGAAAGGTTTTTAGTGCTTACTATTTTTATAATGTTATGTGATTTTGCCACCAACAATACAAATTGAGTGAGAGTCTACTACTTTATATGTTCGGATGTTGTAGATTTTGAAGTAGACATTTTTATTATAAAATACTGTAAAAGTGTAAAATATATGCTTTTGAAATCTAAGAATTCAAAAATAAATAGCCAAAAATGGACCGCCCCTCAAATCGGGAGATCCAAAAGATCATTTACCTTGTCATAGATCTCAATAGTAGCATTCTTTATTATGCTTGTCATTGATCTCAATAGTAGCATTCTTTATTATGCAATTCATGCCATGTATTTTTTCGATCCTTTTTGTCCATACAATATAGAGTAATATTAGTAAGGCTTACTGTCACGCTCCGAGTCTATATCCTGGGCATGGCCGGCACTCGAGAACCATTGCTGGCCCCAAGCGAACCCTTGGCCTGGCTTAACTCTTAGCGGAAGACTTACTCATAATAAAAGCACATTAAAAGTAAATTGTAACTCAAATGATAACTTAGAATGTTTTATAAATAAACATTCAACTAGTCAAAGCGGCAACTCAAATCTCAACATAACTGAATGAAAATGAAAAGACTCATGAACTAACAATATCTAACTATCTATGAAGCCTCTAATAACTGAGATGGATGTCGGGACAAGACCCACGACATCCTAACAAAACTAGAATGATAAAGCAAATAAAAGGGATCCTCTGGAAGCAAGGAGGCTCACCAACCACTCTGAAGCTCAACTGGATCAACGAAGCGTTGGATGCTGATCCTGGTTACCTGTATCTACATCATAAAAGATGCAGGTCAAATGACGTCAGTACATGAAATGTACGAGCATGTGAGGGGAATTTTAAAACAAGACATAAGCTTGAAATGGAACTGAAGAAACGTCTCAACTCAACTCAACTCTTTTCAATATAAAACAGTAATAAAGATGCAGTATAAAGAAAAGTTTTAAATATGTAGATAACAACTTAGTGTATTGAAAAATACAATAGTAACTTAGTTTTGTATATGAAAATATAAGTAACTATGTAGGAGATTCTCTAATCGACAACCATCACTATGAGCTATGTGATGATACAGCGTCTTGCATCACGCTGCCAGGGCCATCCTATACTTTGTCGGGGTATAGAACCTACTACTAAGTGGATCCACTAGTCTATGCTAAAAGCATTAAGGAATCATCTAAAAAGTATGACCCTTTCTACCCATGTTGGCTACACAGTTTATGGAGACTTTGAGTTATTTGAAC